CCAGAAATCAGGATTTTCAAAAGATTCCCAGGTGATTCTCGTGCAGCCACGGTTGAGAACCACTGGCTTACAGTCACTGAGGCGGAGGGACCCCGGTGCTGTCAGCTTTGCTCCGATTTTGCTTGGAGCTCGCTGCTGGCTGAGCGCAAGGCGAGATTCCCCTCCGTCTGTCTGCCCACGGCCGTCCGGCACGGCGGGCCTCGCTCGCGCTCACAGGACCTTCATCAGCGCAGGCACCTTGGGAGGCGCTCGGTCCTTCTCTCCGACCTGAAAGGCCGTGTCCTGTGCAGGAGGGAGGGGCCGCGAGGGCGCCCGGGAGCTCTCCCGACCGCCGCCCCCAACTGGACCCTGTGGGAGAGCTCACGCCCCGGAGGCCGGACGGCGGCCCCTGGCGCCCCCTGTGAGTGAGGGACTGAGCTTTGTCCATGTTGCCCGCATGTCCCGGCTGCAGCGCAGTGGCTGAGGCGCGGTGTGGACGTCCAGGCGCAGGGCAGGGGCAGCGGGCGGGGCCCTGCAGGCGGGCTCACTAGCTCCACCCTCTCTGCTGCCGCGGCTCCCAAAGCCTGGCCCATCTGCGGCCTTGACCTGCTATTGAAGTCAACATCTATGCCTGGCCCACATGTGGCTCGGCGGATAGGGCGTCGGCCTTCGGACTGAAGGGTCCTGGGTTCTATTCCGGTCAAGGGCACATACCTTGGTTGCAGGCTCCTCCCCGGCCCCAGTACTGGTTGGGGCTCGTGCAGGAGGCAATCAATTGATGTGTTTCTGTCACATGGATGTTTCTGTCTGTCCTTCTCCCTTCCACTCTCCCTAAAAATTAATGGAGGACTACCCTCGGTGAGGTTAACAACACAGAACAATAGTTAACATCTAGCCCGGCTGCTGCCTTAGTGGTCAGAGCGTCGGCCCAAACACTAGGGTCATGGCTTCCCTTCCCGGCCAAGGGCACGGACCTGGGTGGCAGGTTCGATCCCTGGTCCCGGTTGGGGTGCAGGTGAGAGGCAACCAATCACTGTGTCTCTCACATCTCTCTCTATCTCTCTCTCTCTCTCTCTCTCTTTCTCTCCCCCTCCCTCCCTCCTTCCCTTTCACTCTCTCTAAAAATCAATGGAAACATATCCTTGGTTGAGGATTAACAACCACAACAAATGAGCCAAGGACGTGAACAGATGTCTCTCCACAGAAGACACCCAAATGGCCAACAAGCACTCGGGGAGCGCTCAGCACCGCCCGCAGGAAGCACAGTCTGAGCACAGCGAGCCCGGCCCCGCGCCCCAGGAGCGGGACTGGGGAGAACAGAGCAGTGCACGCGGGAGGGGAGGGGAGAAGCCGGGGCCTCCTGCACGGTGGGTGGGAACGTAAAATGGTGAAGCAGGACGGGGCTTCCTCAAACAGTTACACACAGGGTTTTCCTGCGACGCAGTAATTCCACTCCTGGGTAGACACCGCAGGAGAAGCAGACACCTAAAGAGATGTTTGCATGGCCTCGTTCCCAGCAGCCAGGAGGTGGAGGCCGCCCGGGGTCCACTGGCAGGGGGGTCCGCCCACACAGTGGGGTACGATTTGGCCTTAAAAAGGAAGGGCAGCCCTGACCGGTTCGGCTCAGTGGATAGAGCGTCGGCCTGTGGACTCAAGGGTCCCAGGTTCGATTCCGGTCAAGGGTGTGTACCTGGGTTGCGGGCACATCCCCAGTAGGGGGTGTGCAGGAGGCAGCTGATCGGTGTTTCTCTCCCATCGATGTTTCTAACTCTCTATCCCTCTCCCTTCCTCTCTGTAAAAAATCAATAAAATATAGTTTTTTTTTTAAAAAGGAAGGGCATTCTGTCCCAGGCCACAGGGCGGCTGAGGACATGACTGAATGACGCCAGCCCGGCCCCGGCGGACGAGCACTGCGCGGTCCCACTCACACGAGGGAGCGGGAGGCGTCAGGCCCACAGAGGCGGAAAGGGGGTGGGGATCAGCCGTCCCCCCAGGAGGGGCAGCCGGGGCAGAGAAGAGCGGGCAGAGAAGGGAGGGAGCTGGACGGAGGCCGTGTGGGCCCGCACGCCCACTCCCCCCCCACAGGCAGCCTAAGCTTAAACGGAAACTGGCTCATTCACACCCTGAAGGAAATTCCAGTCCCTGGGCCCCTGCCAGCAAAAGAAACTGCCTCCCCACCACCTTTGGGCTGCTGGCACCCAGAGAGCGGCGGGGGGGTGGGGGTGAGGGGTGGCCCTGGGTGAACGGAGGGCAGTGCCCCCTGAGTGACCCACAGGCGAGATCTTTAGGAAGCTCCACTACTGTCCATTATTTGAAAACACACACACACACACACACACACACACACACACACACACACACCAGCCCTGTTGAAACAGAACAAAGCAAACCCCTGCGTACAGAGGTGCCCCGGCGACACGGCCTGGCAGCCGCTGCTGAGAGGCATTGCTGCACGTGGGTGAGTCTCCAGGACAGAGGAACACGCTCCCTGACACGGGTCCCGGTCCGACATTAATGCAGAGTTAGAAACGCGTCCGCAGCCACGAAATAATGGTGCCGCAGGCTCCCTGCTGGTGCGGATTCTCCCGCCACAACCTGTGCGACCCTGAGCTATTCCTCGCTTCCAGCTGCTCATAAAGGAGACAGCGATTCCCAGTTTATTTCCCAAATGCCCCCAAAGGAGCCTTAATCCCCGGGCCGCCAGCCCAGCGAAGGCCGAGCCAGGGCCCGACGCCGGCTGGTGCGGGAGGCTCTGCAAAGGCATTCTTTGGTCCTCGTGCAATTCATTTCTTTCAGAAAAGGACACGGGAAGAAAGGTTTCGAGTCCAGGCTTTGGGCCTTTGATCATTTGATGAACGGGGTCTGCGGGCCTCTAGCGTCTCAGGGAGACAAAGGCGCCAGCCGGGCCTGCGTCAGAACAAAACCCAGAGGCCAGGCAGTGTGGCCCTGGGAAAGGCCCTCGGCTCGGGGCCGCCCTGCCCTTTGATCTCTCCGGAGACCCCGGCTGCCTGGTCAGGGGGTTTGACACCGCAGGCCCAGGCAGAGGGGGCAGGTCAGGAACAGGATGGGGGAGGGATCTCAGGAGCGGCCCAGCTGGGCCCATTGTGGGAGCCGCCCACAGAGCCAATGGTTCCGCGGCAGTGAAGACAAGGCCAGCCCTACCCGGGGCTTCTCTGTGCAGCAGACCTGCGCCCCTCAAACCCAGGCTCTCCCCACAAATACTGAGACCTCACCAGCCGAGTCCCACGGTTGGCAACTTCCCTCGGACCAGCCAGGCTCCGTGTGACGCAGCCGTGTGCCCCGCGGGTCTGTGTCCCCATCTCACAAACACAGCGGCATCTCCTCACGCCAGTGACTGTTCTTCCGAAGTAGCTGGTTAAGAGAAGGCAGACCCAGGCCCGAGGCGGACGGGGGAGGGGCGACGGCCGGGAAGGAACAGGGCCTCAACGAGAGCTGAGTCCCAGGCTGCAGGTTCCCGGGACAAGACGCGTCTGATGAGACGCAGTGGCACTGGCGGCAGGAGCGGGCCCCTCCCCTGAAGGCCGGGCTGTGTGATGGTCTAGACCAGTGGTCGGCAAACTGTGGCTCGCGAGCCACATGCGGCTCTTTGGCCCCTTGAGTGTGGCTCTTCCA